CAAGCCAAAACTTGTATACGTATGAACAAACATAAGTATCAGCTAGACAGTGATGCATATGTACATATTTTATTTAAAAATTGCAAACTAGACGTTGATACATATGAACTGGTGGAAGAACCAACCAGACATTTATGCAAATAAAGAAACAAATAGACATTGCATGGTATTTGAAATCTAGAGAAATGTGTTTTTGTACCAGGTATCATTGAGTAGTTACCAACAAGGATGTTCTGTAGTTGTAACGATCAATCAAATCATGATGGCACTCAGGAGTTTCTTTCCACGCATTTTAATTTAGTTTCGCGTTCAGCCGTACTCTGATGTTAACAAGAAAAAAAGATGATCCAGTTAGTAATTGTACTCTGGTCAGTTAATGATGATTAACTTCCCTACCTTATGTTTCCATCTGCAGATTCTGCACGCAGCACCATTTGGTTCTCTATAGGCAGATCTTCATTCTGTTCTCCTTCTGTATATTCTAGCTTTCTTCCGGTTATCGGTCCATATTTTTCTTTATAGTCATACATGCGGGATTTTCTTGCTGGGTTAAAGACCCGTTGGTGGCCCTGAGCTATTTTCTGCACTTTGATCGGGATCTTGTCTCTTTTACACATTCCCCGTTTCTATTCTTAATTCTATAAGTTGGTGGTTATTCCAGTGCTTATCTAGTCTGTTTTCACATTGGTGAATGGTCTAAGATGTAACTTACTGAGCTGGTGAGCTGTTCCATAGATCAATTACTCTACCGGTGAAGCTGTTTTTTCTTTATTCTCACTTACTACGATGTTTAATTACCTTATGTGTGTTCCCTCTTTTTCTTTTGTTGTCTCTTAACTGAAAAATTTCGGTAGTGACTCTCTTATCACAATGAACTGTTATTGTATTAAAGTTTTCAATCATATCTCCTCTCCTGCGTCTATACTTCAACGTTGGCTACTTTAACTTGTGCAATCTTTCCCCATACATAATTCATGTTCTTCATCTTGATCTTAGATGGATGTGACTATTCTCTACATTTCATTGTGTCTCTGCTGCTTTAGCTGCTTACAGTATTTTATGTTTTTTGGTCTAGCAATTGGCAGGCAAAACCTAATGAAGGTTTCAAGAAGCACATGTCGTAGCCTGAATTGATACGTTTATATTGTGTTATACAGTTAATTATAACTGTAATGTCATAAATAGAACTATATACGGAATGCCATGGAGGAGTTTTTGAATACTCGATATTCAGTTTTCTATGTTGTGTAATTGTCTTTTCGCCATTTTTCGGCTTTTTGCTATGGCGTTGTCAGTTTTTGTTTCGACTTATGAGTTTTGAATGTCCCTTGCTATCTTCCGCCTATTTAATACAGTTATCCTAAAGGGACCACAATCATATACAACTGGAAATATCAATACCTAGACAAAAATACATTTACTAAGTGTCTTTTTTGTTGTGGGATGTATAGATACTCTGCCACGTTCGGTCTGTGTCTTCGTTAGATGTTTTCTGATTTGTATCGATCTGATGAGTTAAGCCCTTTTCAACTGATTTGTATAGTTTGTTCTTATGTTATACTGTTACACCACTGTCCAAGGTTAGGGGGCGGGGGTTGACGCCAGAAAACCAGTTTAACCCCGCCACATTCTGTATGTGCCTGTCCCAAGTCAGGAGCCTGTAGTTCAGTTGTTGTCGTTGGTTCATGTCTGTCATATTTATTTTTCGCAAATTGTTTTGCTATAAATTAGGCCGTTAGATTTTTCAATTGAATTGTTTCAAATTTTTCATGCCTGGGCCTTTTATAGCCGACTTACCGGTACGGGTTTTTCTCATGTTTGAAGCCGTACGGTTGCCTATAATTGCTCACATCCACTTCATTTGATGTTTGGTGGATAGTTGTCTCATTGGCAATCATACCACATCTCCTTATTTCTATATTAACAATTTGACGTATAGAAGGACGTACATTGTCATGAATTGTGAAAGACGACATTCAGTCAAAAGTTGAACAGCAAAGTATGTGCGAAAAACACTTGTTTTCTAGAATAGTCATAGTCAGGCACGATGGTGACCAAAAGTTTCGGAAGCCATATAATACATATCTGATATCAACTGATGAGTTATCGGTAAAACTTCACAAAACTACAAACTGGACTTATTTTTCGGTTTCTAAGCCAGAGTGAAACTATTGAAATTTTAATATTAATTTCTTAAAATGATCTTCAACAGTCGTTGATATTTGCATAAACGTTGCTGTTGAAGATAAATTTGGTAAATTTATATTTCGTTGTATAAGTTTACATCAATGGACATCCGAAACCAAAATGTGTGTATTTAATGTTGAACATTGTATTCACTTTTTTGCATAAATCTCCAATTTACCAGAATCAATCAAAATTTAAATGTTGAGCCAACTTTAGGCATTTTTAATTTGGACAATTCTTATACATAAGCCGTAATGTTTAAGAAAATCAAAGTACACATGAGATGCTTTGATACCGTAATTGTAAGTAAAGGTTGAAGAGTTTGAAAGTATAAAACCTGGATTAAAATGTACTCAGGGTAAACATGGTTTTCCATAACACCTTCATTGTAAAAGGAAAGAAAACGATTTGTACATTTGAATTTTTTTAATATAATACTGTCGGCAAAAAACTTCAGTGTAAGATTCGAATTAAATACAGATTAATCATATATCGTGATCTTTAACTTATAAATTATGAAAGGTGAAAAGGTCTACTCAACAACTTTTTATTGATAAACGTCAAGCTAGGGGGTTTAATGAAAGGAAAAGTAAGACAAACGTCAAACCAGGGGGTTTAGTGAAAGAAAAAGTAAAAATCACTTTTAATAAAAAGTTTTGGTATTGTTATTAAACATAACACTTGATATTGACAACTGCTAATAACAGTCCTCTGAAATCGAGCCGAAGAAATCTATTGTGTCACATAGCTCAGTTGTTTAATATGTATTTAATTCCCGCATGAATGTAGGATAGATCTGGGACATAATATATAAGTATAATAGTCCCAGGATAGATTGATACTGTATCATTGTTATAAAGGAGTTTACTACATAATTTGTTCTAAAGAAGTGAATCAAACGGGTAATTGGTTGTATTACTCTCCAATGGCAACGTATCTGTTTTTGTATATGCTTCAAATCGTAATTTCTTAAATCATTTAGGTTTTCTTTCTCATTTTTCCGTTTTCTTGACAAAATAGTGTGTTTTTTTTTTTAATAATAATACACATAAATGAGTGGACATACAAAACTAACAAAAAACACAAGTCAAAGTTTGCTTTCCATTCTATTTTCCAAGACCAAACCATCTTTTTCATCTATACTGTTTTCGCATAATAAATCACAATATTCCCATAGTCTCTACGATGAATTTTGTTCTTATTATAAATGATATTCATATAGAACACAATTAGGTAGATGCCCCTATTTGACGCATCGCATTGCGAGATTACTGGGCCAAAAAAGTGCAAGTTTCATTAGGATAAGTACGCTCAGCTTTGTGTCAAAATTCCATAATCACGTACATAACAATATAAACGATATATATACATTTAAATTAGATATCATCAAATATCATCGTCAAATTGCTTACAAATTCAATATATATTTAAACTGATAACATTATAAGATCTCTTTATCTAACGCTTTATTCCCTTACCGTATATTAAAAACAACTTGTATTTAGAAAATCAATTTTATAAAAGCTATATAACACCAAGCATTAGTAGATGATTTGAAAAGAAATAGATTATCTAATTTAAATTTCAGTACATAAAAGCACAATGTTTACTCCATAGTGTACTGGAGCTATTTTTGTCGCGATATTGAAAAAATCAACGATTTATTTTGAAATGCATGCAACAATATATTTAAATATAACTGAAAAAAATGTATAAAATTTGTGATGGGTCAACAAATTCATTTTTTCGAGACATCTTTATCATACTCATCAAACATATTTTATCAAATTCAGGGTTATGCGATAAGTGTCTATAGACTTTTTATTAATGCGATATGTGGCTGATAGAAAGGACTTATTTTGAATAGTGACGCCAAGTGCTTTATTTGCATTTTCTTCATTGTTATCAGAAGAATCAAAATTCGCCTTGGCATTCTATTCATTTCATTATATAATTAAATAGTGTAGGTGATATATATGAGTTTTATAAAAAATATTGAGCGAAAACAGCATTCTCTAGTTAAATGTCCTCAGACCTAATTCAATCTGATTAATTAGTCATTGTCCCTAAGCAAGTAATATTGTAACGGCTTTTAGTATAAGTGTTGTACATGTCCGGTCGTAACAATTGTGTTGCCAATGTATAACTCTACTTTCTTATGTGAAATCATCATCAAACATTGTTTAAAAAGAAGCGGAAGAAATGGAGGGAACTTTCAAAACGCATAAGTCGAATAGAAACTGACGACGCCATGGCAACAATAAAAATCAACTAAAATACAAACATAGAAAACAAAACTCTCAGCCATTCAATGAAAAGCCATATAAAAATGAATTCATCTGATTTTATTTCAAGGTTAGAGGTCAAATATCGAGTCATATCATCGGCATAATCATAACTTTCAAATTTAAAGCGTGTACGTTCGTTCAACACTAGCAGACGTGCCTGAAACCAATATATGAATAAAAGATATGGATATGATGTCCATGAGACAACAATCCAATGATAAAACATCCATTACTCTTATTGACGACGAAGAGTGCTCTGACAAAGTTTAATTTCAAAGGTTGAAGTTGTAGATCGCGTAGAGAAACAGTTTAATGCCCGGAATTAGGTATGGCTTGAATTATCCATCTTTTTATGAGTTACGTTTGACTGTGAAATGCCCGTGTTTTGAATACATATCTATATCAAAGTTTTTTTTATCATGGAAGTTCCCTTTTTGCACAATTCAAGGAAATTTAGATCAGAAAAAAATAGTATAACTTCTTAGTAATTTGCGAATAAACAACTTATAGTCTTGAATGTTTTAGGTGGCTGTCAAAATAATCGATAAACGCAAAGCAAAAGAAGATTCATACGTCAGAAAGAATCTCCGGCGGGAAGGAAAGATTTTGCAAATGGTTAGACACCCGAATGTTGTGCAGTTACTGGAAATTATGGAAACAGAAAACAGTTACTACCTTGTTATGGAATATTGTAAAGGTGGAGATCTCATGGATTACATTTGTCAACGCAAGAAACTTGAAGAGAGAGAAGCTAAGCGATTTATTCGACAAGTGATTTCAGCAATAGACTACTTACATAGAATGGGAATTCTGCATAGGTATGGACGTTGTTTTCATTATAATAGAAATAAGGAGATGTGGTATGATTGCCAGTAAGACAACTATCCACCAAAGTTCAAATGAAGTGGATGTAAGCAATTATAGGCAACTGTACGGCCTTCAACAATAAGAAAAACTCATACAGTATAGTCGGCTATAAAAGGCTCCGACAAGAAAAATATGAAACAATTCAATTGAGAAAACTAACGGCCTAATTTATAACAAAACAATTTACGGAAAACAAATATGGCAGACATGAACCAACGACAACCACTGAACTACAGGCTCCTGACTTGGGACAGGCACATACAGAATGTAATCATGTTTGTGAGCGCTCAACCACCCCCATCCCTAACCATGGGACAGTGGTGTAACAGCACAACGTAAGAACAAACTATAAAAATCAGTTGAAAAAGGCTTAACTCATCAGATCGATACAAAGAAAAACATCAAACAAAAACACAGACAGGACGGTACCATGAGTTTTAAGATTTTGAACTTTAATAAGTACTCTCTTGTTTCAAAATTCAATAATCATGTACAGTACAAACTAAGAATCTAAGGTAGATTCATTCAAGAAAAGAATATAAAAAAAACATGTATATGATTTTCGAGCGCCCAAATTTTGGAAATTGCATATATTAATTGTTTGAGAATATAAAAACCAATATATATGAAAGAACAAATCGTCTGAGACGAACTTTTCCTGAGGGATTTGTACTTTTTATGAGTAATTTTATGAACTACAAATTTAAAAACAAAATGTGGCATTTCTATCATGTCAATATCTGAGCACTGGCTACTGGCTGAATGGAGCCCCCGGGAAACATCAGCGGTAACGATCCAGCAGAAGTAAAACAAATTATATAATTTCCTTGCTTACAAAACGTGCTTCTATATAGCTGCCAACAAGCAACAGGCACGCTCGTGACCGACATTTAGGAATCCCCGAAAAAATTAATAAATGAAGATTTAACGTTTATGAGCATAAAAACTTAATAGGTATGAATATAGAAGACACATTCGTTCAAATTTAAATTTGTGTATGGCGTGGGAACCTTAAGATTAGATCAACTACATAATTTTTATGAACTGAAACTTAACATATAAAATGCACTGGCTTCTGGCTGCATGGTACCATCGGGAACTTAATGGTACACCAGCAGCGGTATGGACTTAAGTGATAGTAAAAACAAATAGAACGACTTCCATGCGCGCATTACCGTGTTTCTGGAATTACCGTCGTCAAGTACGCTACAGCCTTTGTTTTCTTTAGTCTGGATTTGAGTTCTTAAACACTCATCTAAATCCATTCATCAGAATATATCAAGTTAGATTTTATTAGGAACTTTATTTTCGTTGCAAACAAACTATATATGGCACAAGTAACCTGTTATATTATTCACATATATTATATCAAGTAATTGACTTTCCATTTTCATCATGTGCATGAAAGCAACTGTGATTAGATACGAACATTATGTTATATTATGTACCTGCAATTACAACATCTAGACTCCATCAATCGACTGTGGCATAATTACATGTATACAATTTCATTTATTAATCAAAATGAAACACGCACCTGCTCACATTATGTGTCTGTGTACCGTTCGACCTAAAAAAGTATAATACCTTACTTAAGATTTCATTATAGCGGTAATGTTCTTGTATTGACATTAGGGTCATGAATCATGTCAACTCGTTCACAATAGCTACATAATGTAACTGTATGGGAAAGAATAGTGAAAATGCAGGGTATACGTAAATAAGACAAAACAATAATGTAAAAAGAAGTAAAATAAAGACATTTTAACGTTGATTTTTTGTTAGATGTTATGATAGGCTGATAAATGCGTAGCTTTTAGAACAGCAAATACACTTAGATCTGTATTTTGTGTCTTAAGTCTATTTGCTTGTTTTTTGTTTTTTGTTTTTAATTTTGTATGCTTTGTATAGATCTGATGAGACAAGCCTTTTTTCACTGATTTTTATAGTGTGTTCTTATGTTATCCTCTTACGCCACTGTCGCAGGTTAGATGAAGATTGGCACCTTCAAAAATGTTTAAACCCCGCAATATTATATATGTGCCTGTCCGAAGTTAGGAGCCTGTAATACGGTGATTGTCGTTTATTGCTGTATATCATATCTGTTTTTCGTCTGTTGTTTTGTACATAAATCAGGCCGTTATTTTTCTCGTTTGAATTGTTTCACATTTGTCATGTCGGTGCCTTTAAGCTTTCTAGGTGGTATGCCTTTTGCTCACTTTTGAAGGTTGTATGGTGATCTATAGTTTTTAACTTCTACGTCATTTAGTCTCTGATGGAAAAGTTGTCTCATTGGCAATCATACCACATCTATTTATTACATTTTATAAATTTCCACTGACTGAGCACGTGCCTCATTTCGTTATTATATCGACATGTCTCCCTCTACTTGCGTCAAACTATCTCTTTTGGACTATGCAATGTCTTATTCCTTCAGATTAAGCAGCACTTGAACACTAGCTACTAGTACTCCCTTAAACTAGCCGTGATAAAACCAACTGTCGAAATGAGTAACTCTAAGTAATGCAAAAACAGCTCACGAAGATTCCCATTTTCATACCATATATATTTTTTTTATCTCTTTTTAACGAACAAATGAAGGAATATTATATAAATATATAAATAACACATAGTTGAAAGGGAGAAAGAGCAGATTGTATCCCCGAGAAAACATTGTCAACTGAGGCGAAGCCAAGGTTGACAATGTCTTTTCGAGGGGTAACCATCTGCTCTATCCCCCTCTCAGATATGTGTTATTTAATTTATTATACGGAATGTTCTGTTATTACTGTCTATTAGATTTCAAATTCAAAGAAATAGACTATGACGTCTTGTACATAACAACCATCCGTATTTAATAAAGCGCACACTTGATCAAGCGTCTCCGTGAAGGGTAATAGAATATTTGCCATGTGATAGAGTAAATTATATCCCTCGTATTAACCAATCAAAATCTGGCATTTTTACATGAAGTATAATAAACCTTCTTACTCATCATTCGTGTCCGCGTATATTAAAATCCTTAGAAAGTATTTCAGCTAGAATACAGACCTGTATATATTTTCATTCCGCTTTATGAGATATTCCTGTTGGCCCCCAAAAAGCACATTTCCTTCTGTGCCCTTTCGGAGAACCAGAGTATATTTCCGTTTTTATAGTGAGGTTCATATTGCTTAATTTTAAGGAAGTTCTGTGTTTCATGGAATTCATGGAATGGTGTATGTTCTTCATTTTGATTGGATGATGGTGTTGTGTCTTTTTTTACTTCGACATATCAATTTTGATATGCAGATTGGTACATGTACAACAATGTATCTTCTCCCCTTTTTGTCACAAACCTCAGCAATTTCTCACATCAAATTGCCATTGGTATCGATACACTTAGATAATATATTTTTATATTCCTCTAAGAAGAAGAGTTAAATACAATATACGTCCCAACCGGATTTCAAGCTTTCTATTTAATGATAGGGAGTTGTGGAATTTATTTATTTTTATTCTCATCAAAACTATTGATTAGTTCAATTTTCACAATATTGGGAAAATCAGAACTATTTTTCTTTTTTGGAAGGGGGCTAGTACAAAAATTATACTATTGTTGTTGTCCCCTGCATAGTGCTTTGATTTCTTATAAAGTTCTATTAAGTCTGAAAGAAGGTTTATACATGTACCTACTCTAACTTCCTTCACCAACAAAACTGGCCGCAATGATATACACGAGGTCCGCTGAAAATGGCGTTAAACACCAACAAACATTCAAACATTACCTTAATAAAGTAGTTGCTATTAACAAGGCTATTTTCTTTGAAAGAGCCATATTAGAGGTCGTTAAACCATAATATTTACTCATGAGATTTACCTTTCGCAACTCTGATGATTAATGAGACGAAAATACATGTCATCAGTGGGTCAATTTAAAACATCAATTGAAAACGTTTCAATAATTTGAAAAATCAATTTCATATGACTGAAAACAAGAAGTGAAAGGAAAATAACGTAGATTTGTACTTGGTACCGTGTGAGATATTAATCTAATGTCTGATAGTATTTTCGATTATACTGTAGAATTGAATGGTAATTAATCACGGAAGTCCGTTAATGATCTGTAAATAGCTATAGATTGTTGATTGTTTCACAAAGACTCCCAATTTTTATTCTGACAACAGTACCAATGGGTTTTGAACACCGACATGTATATATGACTATATTTAGGTACAGTAAAAAAAAACCTATAACAATAACAGGATACACAAACGACAGAAACACCTTAACTGTCACAGTTTTCTCTAATAAAGATATAGGTTTGACAGTTGGGTGGCTTTCTGTTGTCACGCTTGTAAAAAAAATCACACTTTTGTTTTTATTGTAAACAGGGAGTTGATAAGCGATCAATGTGAAAACCTATTACGGCACGGTATAACATGATCACAGGGAGCATTGATACCAAATAAAGGGAGGTTCTGATCCGTAGTTCTTCAGAAAAATGCGACGAAAATTGCAAACAAAGCTATTCTGTGCAAGGATATACAATGCAGCAGACGGAATAGCATGCTTACATAAGCCACTGTATCTTCTCATTCGGAATATGGGTATAATTTACGAACTAAACCCTATAAAGACATATACTGGTTCTTTATAATGAGTTAGTTGCTAAAGGAACACACTTGGACTTATTATGTGTTATTATGCCCTCTCCGTAGACAAAGGGGGTATCAAGTGTTACCCTTTACCGTCCGTTTTTCCGTCTTTCCGTCTTTCCGTCCTTCTGTCTTTCCGACCTTTCCATTTTTCGTTTCCGCACTCTAACTTAAGTTTGCCAAATCCAAATTATATGTAACTCATACACAATGATAAGAACCAAAACTCGCAGACGGAGTTCGAATTTGAGTAGTGAGTCACTTACCGTTCTAGAGTTATGCCCCTTAATAACTTGGTATATTGCAAATTTGTTCGTTTCCGCACTCTTATTGAAGTTTTCCTCGTCCAAATTTTATGAAACTCATACACAATGATAAGAACCAAAACTTACAGACAGAGTTCACCTTTTGGCAGTGAGTCATTTATCGGCCCAGAGATATGCACCATTTGACTTGGAAGATTCCAAAGCTTGAATGGGACATTTGTGTCCTCTGACACATTCTTCTTTTATTTCAGTATTATTCATACCCACTATGGCATGATTTGTATTATACTTTTCTTAACATTTCCATATGATTAAGTAAGAAATTATTGAAAAAAAACAAAGGTTCAAACTCCTTCATGCGAAGTAGACCTTCGATTAAATTTAGTATTTTCTGTAGGTCTCTTTTGATCATATAGCTCTAAACGTTTCTACAGCTTCATATTTATGTATAAATATGCATCCCCGGTTTTCAAATGCTGAGGTTCGTGCGTTCCTGATAAAGGTAAATCGAGAAAATCGCTTCGGACGTACGAAATTTATTTTATATGTTATTTTCATCATCAATTTGTTCTGTCTATCAGACTGTTCAAAAAGATGATTCCTCTGTTTTGTTTAAGTTTGTTTAATGTTAAATGTGCTATCATGATGTTCATAAATACAGGGACAGTAGATATAAAAACTAAATTTTCTATTTTCGATGTGTTTTAAATCTTTTTTTAGATTTTTATTTATTGCATATTTGATTTTTACTTTTATTTTAGAGACCTCAAAGTAGAAAATCTACTACTTGATGAGAATAGAGATATAAAAATTATAGGTAAGTATAAACCGTACACTGCAATTTGTTTTTGTTGTTAGGTATTTAAGATAGATTTATCTCTCTCTAAATTATTTCCGATATTTAAAAGATTACACTTATTTCTAGGAAACCCGTTGTGCTTTTAACATATATTATATCCGATCAATAGATTAATACATTTGCACTAAACAACACAAATGCAATGAAAGTTACATACAACACGTTTAAAACTGCCATTGAGTACAATAATTGTACGATACGTGTTCAAAAAGTAAGCTTGAACCAGTTTGATTGCCGGCAATTGTTTGTGAATGTTCATTATACGATACGTGTTCCCAAAGTAAGCTTGAACCAGTTTGATTGTTCGTAATTGTTGGACAGATATTATTTCAAGCTCTATTTCATGTGGAACTTACGGATTTCATAACTGGTGCAAACTTACCGTGAGAATGAATAAACAAAAACAAAAGTTAAATGCATGTATGTTTATTTTTCACTCAAATGATCAACGTATAATCTATTGCCTCATGTTCACTTACAAATTTAGTATTCATGCATTTTTTGAACAAGAACTAATATGCGATAAGTTTGGTAAGTTCAGTGGGTGGACAGAGAGAATAGCCGGGAAAATATATGCATGATAGATATTGCTAAATATTTTGACATACACCAGACAGCCAACTGAACTCAAAATCGCATACACTTTTGGAAAGGTTTTATGTGCTAAGAATCTGACACTTTTCAAAACAGAGCATCGATTCTTATGTCCCTAATTTTCATAAATATGATATCTTTTGTTTTGTGAACTGATTAAAGTAGTTTTATCTGACACATCCCTATGATTATCTAATAATGAAAAGCATATTCAAGTATGGACGTATTACACACTGTTAGGCAGTAAAATATACAGTGATTAAAATAATAGTACTAGTAGTTGTTTTCTTTCATCATAGACTTTGGTCTTAGTAACAAGATAAAAGTTGTCACAACAAAAGATGGAGTACGAGCCCAGGAGCATCTAGTCACACAATGTGGAAGTCCTGCTTACGCTGCGCCAGAGTTACTTGGAAGAAAGAAATATGGACCACAAGTTGATGTCTGGAGCATGTAAGGACTGTTTCATTTTATTTATGAGATTTTACTCCTATAAAATACATACGTTCGCATTACTGTTTATCACACCACTTCTATTATAGACTTTGTTTATGGCAGTACTACCGACAGCTACTTGTTATACCTTTTCACTTTTGAAATAAACACAAAGCAGAGAAATTAAAGATTCTATCACAATAATATGTTGATGATATATTTACTCGAGATAGTTGAATTTTAAAATTACGACGTGTTAACTATAAAAAGTTGATTTATATCATATTAAATGGGATAAAGATTTAGACTCTGTTTCTATAATACTCAGCGAAAACTCCTGTATTAAAATTTAGGTTTGGAGATAAATCACAACAAAAATGGATTTAATGAACATAAATGCACGAAGAATAAAAGACGGAACTTTCATCTAAGCTGTAATAAAACTAACAAATTATAACATTTATCAATATATATTATTTATCAACTACAACGTACTTGATTATATTGCAGCATATTTTAACTTTTTGAGATCGTCTTTTTTCAATTTATTAACTTTTGATTTCTAAACCAGGTATATTTCTTTTTTTAGTGGCGTCAACATGTTTGCAATGCTGACTGGAAACCTGCCATTTACTGTTCAGCCATTTAATATTAAAGTTCTCCACAATAAAATGATAGCCGGTCAAATGAATCCAGTCCCAGATACGATAAGTAGAGGTATGTAATGTGAGATACATAATACATATACAAAACTCAAGAAAACAAGAAAGATGATATCAGCAAATAAAGCATATAAATTGTAAAAGCCGAGTAGATGTTATGTCATCTGACATTATCTTGTTGTTGTAGATGTATGAACGAAAGAACTGAAACTCAAATTATATTGATTTTGTTTAGAACAACTGTTCTGTATCACTGCTGGTGGATTATTATTAGTCACCGAGGGTATCATCCATCCATTTACCTTGCTTTGATATTGACTTAATTAAAATGATATATTTTGTTTGACATTTCCTGTTCATAAAATTATGTTATTGTTCTGAAACTAAGGCTGCAGCTAGGCCTTTTTTTTCATCACAAATTCAAACAAAATATGTAAATACAATGGCGCATTCACACTGGTTAAAATCGATCGTTGTACTTTATGAATAAACTCATTGCCACTCTGCAAAATATCTTTACATTCATCATGCTTAACTTTCAAGTTTTTATCATATTCATATTATGTATAATAGATGTTGATTGATTGAGCAGAGATCCCATAATGACAAACAGTATATTAGTGAAGATTATAACCCCAATAGGTTTCCACATTCACAATAGGAATGTTGTCTTTCTTTGTAAAGTTGAATTAAGTGCTTTTTATCTTTGAATATTGTTACTTTCATCTCCTGTATGAAATTGTTTCTGTATTGTTTTTCAAAATGTTTATTAAAAACCAATTTATTACACAATCATTTTGATTGTTACTAACGAAAGGTTTGAGTGTTTTTGTGACAAGTGTATGCATTAGGTGTCATGTGCAGGAAAGACTTGGGATCGCGAACTGACAGGTTCCATAATATCATTTTGAATGTATATGGTTTCAATGGGGTTTTAGATTTACACATAGTTAAAGCACAACAGGAAAGGCCCCATTAAAAAATGCCATAAAATTTTAAGTTCAATATATATATTTTTTTTATTTTATACAAAAAAAAACACTGACGCTGCAATTCCTTCAGGAGAAGTTGACTTCAGACGGTTAAGACTAAGCTTTCAAGGGCATTGAATTATAAAACTATCGTTTGCGTTCCCACTCTGGTCTCCTCGATCACTCCTTATGATTGTTGTCGAGAATTACGCTTTAAACTTGAAAGTGCATATAGAAATTACATTAAATATACGATCATATTATTGCACGGTGCCATATAATGCCACGTTACATTTTACGTTCTACATCCATAATTGAGCTGTTTAAATTATTACACACCACTTGTTTATTTCTTTTATGACATATAAATTAATCCATGCACATCAGCACTAGATCATTTTATGTAACATCTTCCCACAGACTGCCGAGATTTAATACGGAAACTCCTGACTCCAGATCCAGATAAAAGAATTACTTTAACTGAGGCAATGAAACATCCATGGATTGCTGAAGGTAAGATTCATAACAAAAATAAAAAAAATAGGATAGATAAATGAAGGAAACAATCTGAAAATTGTGATAAAATGATTTAATGAATACTGCTTTCATTGAAAGTCTTCAACAATCCTCATCAAGGTTTCATGTTTTGTTCATCATGGGTTCCAGACAAAATACATACAGTTAATGTACCAACTCCCTATTACAAAGTTGATCTTAGATGGATTTGGCTATATTGTTAGGTCCATTTTGGTTAAATAGCTCTTCACGTGTTTCGGTACTTGTCCATCCTTAGCTTTCAATCATGCGTTCATGATGAAGGTTTATCCAGAAAGTCGCTTCGGCACATAGGATTTATAAGTGTTAATTTCATTTTTTAACATAATAGATCAAGGATGCTTTTAGTTTTGCATTATATATTTTAATAAGGATTTTTTAAGTGTTTTCTTAACCAGATAAATTGAGGTTATAGTATTTATTATTACTTTCCTGTCTACATTTTTATGTATAAAGAAATGTTTCTGCATGTCATACTCTGTATTTAAAATTGATTAATGACTCAAATGAGTAAAACAAAACAATACATGTCAAAGGGACATAAAATATCTCTGCTTTAATACACAAGAAAGCAATCTAGGTTATATTCTTTGTCCTGTGTGGTTGAATGATTGCTTACTTAGTAACACAACATGGCTTTTCCATCGAGGGTTTTTAAAATGCATTATGCAAAAAAAGATGTCATACGTTCGACCATTATACAACAAACAATTGGTTTTTCAGTAGCGAAACAGCGCTTAGTTCTATTCAAACTCTTTTATTATTCTCGGCCTTATTCTTATGCCGTTAAGCTTCAAGTCTGACTTGGAAACCGCTTTTTCAGAAATTAACGATAGCTACATTTAAAAACAACATACTAGTACTCTAAAAAAATCAAATGAATATGAATTGTTATCAATGAATTTTACCAACATTCAATTGACTGGTGTTAGAGATGTTTTTATATATACTAAAACACGGTGCAAAAGTACGGGTGCCAAGTGGGACTGGTGCCATATGGTTGTATTCCAGGTTAACTCTTCAAGCAGACATGAAACGTGCAATAGTAATTTTGTATGAACAGTCAATTTTGCAAGAAATTCCTTTCAATACGTAATGTCTTAATGTTCTCTTATATTCATAGGTAAAACAAAACCCCTTGAACGATCAGTGTTTCCAAATAGACGAAAGAGTGATGAGCTAGATGAGACAATTTTAAAACATATGAGTGAAATCCAAGGATTTCGGTTGGGTGAAGTCATTCGGTTTGTCACCGGAAATCTGCCAAGCCCAGCCCTTTCTATGTATCATACCCTAGATCAGAGATTGAAAAGATATTATGCAGATATGAGAGTTAGAGGGAAAATGTCTGCTTTAGAAAGCTACTCAAACAGAGCAGGACAAGCATTTCAGACGTACCAGGTAAATGTTAAAAAATTGATACGCTCAATACATGAGATAAAAGAGGGACGAAAGATACCAGAGGGACAGTCAAACTCACAGATCGAAAACAATCTGACAACGCCATGGCCAAAAATAAAAAGACAAACAGACAAATAGTAGTACAGATGACACAACACAGAAAACTAAAGACTAAGCAACACGAACCCCACCAAAAACTGGGGGTGATCTCAGGTGCTCCGGAAGGGTAAGCAGATCCTGCTCCACATGTGGCACCCGTCGTGTTGCTTATGTTATTACAAATCCGGTAAATAGTCTAATTCGGTAGGTCACATTCGTGAAAAGGGAAGGGTATTGTAGTTACGACATAAGGAACATATCCGATATCATCTGTGAAACGGTTATTCCATAACGGTCAACCAACTCGTGATGGCGTCCGTAAAACCCTACAGTAACACTTTCGAATAGAAATGTCACCCTCTTGGATACAATACTATTTAAAAATGTTACAAGAATTCACGGAAGATTATCTTTATTTGAGAAAGTAGTTTCATTGTGAACTTAAAGGTAAAGATGGTCAACTCTAATAAAGATGATAGAGTGATCTATAGTAAAATTTACTCCAGAACTACAAATAAGTATATTTAACCCTAGTTTTTGGTGGGGTTTGTGTTGCTCAGTCTTTAGTTTTCTGTCTTGTGTTTTGTGTACTGTTGTTTGTCTGTTTGTCTTTGTCTTTTTTTGGCCATGGTGTTAGAAGTTTATTTTCGACTTATGAGTTTGAATGTCCCTTTGGTATCTTTCGCCTCTCTATTATATAAATATTTAATTTGTTTAATTTTGAAGATGCAAGTTTATTTTGGTACATTTTATCATGCTATTTTGTTTATCATATCTATTTTCTCATAACATGTATAAATATAGACAACAGTTATTAACCGATGTTAACATCTCATGTATCGATTAAGAAGACAAACCAAGGTTGCAAACGCAATCAAAGATTATAAAAGAAAACAAAGTGCGCATGGAAGTCGAATCGTTTGTATATTATTACCACTTCTTTCATACCGTAACACTGCTGTCGGACTGTTAGTCTCCGAGAGTACATCACTAAATAGTGAAATGTCGGTTTTGTCACGGTTTAAATGATACTTCTTTCCAGTTTATAATAGTATGCAATTGTGCTGTAAAAAAGACTGTAATTCAATCAAATTAAGTTGACCCAAGTCGGTTTTTGTTGTACTATTTAGGCCCGAGACCCTTTATCTTTTTCATGCTCTAGGTCGTTTTTAATTGTTTTCTTTCTAAATGTTTTGTCCATAAGTGTACCAGACAAAAGTTATCATCGAAACGTCTGTTGTTCGTACGGATATCATTTCATTTCTTTTATATTACCACTGGTACGTTACCGCTGATGTGGGACTTGTAGTCGCTGAGATGATCGTTCGCCCAGTATCAATTCCGACTGTATTGAAATGACAGTTTTAATACTTGTGTACATAAATTCCTGTTTGTAGTTCTTTGTAATTGTGTTTTAACTAAGGACATAACTTCCTCAAGCACAATTGACCAAAATTCGTTTCGCCCGTTCTGTTTATTTTCCTTATATTTTTATGCTCTTAAATCTCAACTTACTTTATTGATTTGTAAATTCCTTTTGGATTTACGGGATTTCAACACTTGTAAACTACTATTATATCTGGTTTTCTATTGTTCAGACGTCCCTCCGTATTAATATAATTTCCTTGCAATGTTCTTAGTCTCAGGAAATATAAATTAGAGCTTTCTGAAATTTTGTTTCAAGCTTAATGTGAACATGCTATATCGTGTGATGCGTTTACATACCCATCTTTCATAAAATTCTTGTTTACCGAATACTTCAAACATTGTTTGAAATGTTCGTCACTTTTTGTCTCAAGAACCGTCGAATCAGATCTAATTCTTCTTGAAATTTGACATTCAGCTTTAAATGACGATGTTATACACTGTGATATGTTTTCACATATTTCGCTCATCACCTCCCTGTTAACTGAATATTTATAGCGGGGGTATGTTATCATTTAGAAATAGCTCATATTACGTCTTGGTCTTTTTCATTGATATTTTACGTTTTGATTCGTTATTCCAGGTGCGGAAAAATAGATCAGTGCCAGCTTCTCCAATACCGACAGCTCCTCTAATGAAAGAAAACAAAGAAGAGAAGAAACAGACTGCACACACCGATGGTGTGATATCAAATATAGAAAAGGATCTCACTATTGTAGAAATAGATGAAAATGCTAACCATATTAATATTAGAGGTATAATTTGTTCGATTAATCTTTACAAGTGTTCATATTGTACACAATATCACATCTAAGTAAAAATTCGGGTAGCCCCAAAAATCTATTCCAAAGTCTGACGTATTCTCCGCGAAAAAGCTTTTGATTATAAGTTAACTAGAATATTCAAATAAGAAAATGGTATGACTGTCAATGAAACAACTCTCCACCAGAGATCAATTGCACGGCTTTCAACAATGAGCAAATCCCATCTGCATATATATATATATATATATATATATAGATATAGAAAGATGTGGTATGAGTGCCAATGAGACAACTCTCCATCCAAGTTACAATTTATAAAAGTAAACCATTATAGGTCAAGGTACGGCCTTCAACACGGAGCATTGGCTCACACCGAAAAGCAATCTATAAAGGGCCCCAAAAAATTACTAGTTTATAACCATTCAAACGGAAAAACCAACGGTCTAATCTATATAAAAACGAGAAACGAGAAACACGTATGAACTTCATAAACAGACGACAATTACTATATATATTAAGCTATAAAAAAAAACCGAAATGTCAAATGTAAAATAATTCACCCGTGAAAACTAACTACCTGACTTTTATGCAGAACGAAGATTGGTTTCTTGTAAAAATTTTGTACAGTAGTAAATTTAAAAAAAAAAAACATTATTTTTAGTACCGTTGGGGACGCGTTGAAAGTAATGTATGCAAATAAGTTTGGGTGTCTGTGTATATGTGTTGTTACTTCGGTAAGGGCAAATTTAACGGGTAAAAAGAACATCACAATCAGTTACCGAAATAATAACACCACGTTGCCTTTCTGTTTAATAATCTTTTTAGTGAACATACATGTGACAAGTGACAAGTTTCTGTTCACGATGCTACACGCAGATGACTTGCGAATTGGTGTTATAGAACAAGTGAAAATTGTACAAAATTATTTTTAGAGAGAAACGTGTATTTGGTGAACGTTCTTTCGGTTTAACAGATTTTAAATTGATGAAACCTGTTACAATAGTTCGTTTTTTAGTTATGTGTTTGTCATATTGCAGTTTGTGATCCTTTAAGAACAGAAAAAGGTCAAGGCAATGAACAAGAAGGTAAAGAAAATCAACAGAAACCAAATATTGATACTAAAATCAACAGAAAGGAACAAGCAGAGAAAAAAGTATTCATGCCAAAACTAGCTCATAAATGTTCTGTGCTTGACCGTAACATGCCAGAAAATGGTGCTACATCTTCGCTATCGCCTTCCCCTGTAAAGGAACGGTGTGAATCGCCAACAAAATCTCGAAGAGGTTCACTGACAAAAGCAATTTTATCTCCAAGGAAAGTAACTCCAAAAGCACAGACTGATTTAGGGCTTTCTAAAGACAAAACAAATAAAAACGATAATTGTAGAACATATTCTGCTCAAGCTGGCTTCAAAAGATTCCAAAGAATATCGGTGGATGGTTCTAGAAATACACAATATGACTTGAATGGAAGATTCATACGAAAGACAGAAGTCAAAATTGTAAATAACAAAAAGAAAATTGATTTGATTTATTCCACAAAGAGTGACAACTCATCTGACAACAGTTCGAAAATTTCATGTCACTCACCTACGCTTTCTGAACGTTTCAATAGTCCAATTGTAGAACAGACAAAAATGTTCTTACGAGCAAAACTGAACAATGGAAATATAAAAACAGGTATTTCTAAAGACCAATCAAAAGACGATAATTCAATCGAAGAAATTTCGCCTTTATCTTCACTGTCAAAACAAATGAGTTCTCGCGCAACAACGCGAACTGAGTTTTCTTCATTTGCAAAGGATGGACAAATTGCACTTCCATGTATTACACCAGTACACAGAAACAGTTGATAATTTGTACAAAAGTAAAGTAAGATTGTCTTTCGACATTGTTCATACAAATGTGTATCTAACAACCAACAACGAAAATACTTATATTGTTGATCATTTTGTTATTATTGATTTGCTTTTTTCTGTAAATTGTGCAATATGGATTATCAAATAAAATGTTAAATTATTGATTATAATATTTTTTTTTTTGCCTTAGCAATAGCATACACATTTACTTAATCATAAATTAATTCCTGTTATCACCTGCGCAGTAGTCAGGTACTTCTGTGCTGACATGGTATATAATTGATGCCTGCATTAATTTCTATAAATTTTCTGCTCATCTGCTCAAATGTTAAAATCACTCGAAGCACTAGGGGTTTTCTACCCTAAGCAAAGATGGTCTTAGCAAGATTTGTCATAACTTTTGAAAATGTTGAGGTTGAATGCTCTTCGCCTAATTTTTAGTTTTGGTTTAGTACCACTGATGAGTTTCATGTAGGCGAAACGCGCGTCTGACGTACATGTACTTAATTATAAGACTTATCTTTCAAAAGTGTTTATGTTTTATAGAAAGCTTATTTGTGTAACTCGCATCGTTTTTTGTTTGTTTTAAAAAACTTAATAGAGTAAGCGTATCAGAATTTCGTACAAATTAAAAGGAAATATGGTCGATGCAAGCGACGCTTCCAATGTGAGGATATAGCACAGATGTTTTTATAAGTGTGAAACTTTTCCCTAAATTGAACTTAAAATAAATGAGTAATATCAAATATGATATCGTACCTGAAAAACAAATGGTCCAATAATATTATCATATTTCCATGTTTACTGAACAATGAAATATGGGATAAAACCTTAATTTTGCATATATTTTACACATTTTACATCATAATGAATATGTGTACAAAGTTTCAATTTGATGTGACCACAACACTATTGTAAACAACATTAAACTAAACCTTTAACATGATACGGGACGAAAAATAGACGGACGCACTGATAAATGTAGGATTAAAAGACAAAGTAAAAACAGTACCGCTCTACGTTACGTATACACAAGGACTATATCTATTATCTATTTACTTGCTTAAATAGGTGATGGACTAGTCTCTGCATATTAACAATGACAGTGGTCTTGGATCAACAAAAGTTCCCTTTCAATCAGATTTGATTGCAGTTGGTTGTCATTACTAGCAATACAGAAAATTTTCGAAAGTGTTTTCGTTTTTGTACAACCTGAAAAAGCAGCTGACGTTGTAATTGTTTAGATTCAAGTAAATACGCATAAAAACTAAAACATAAGAACTAAATAGTGTTAGTGTCGTCTAGTACTACTATTTGAAGTATGCAAAATATAAGGCGAAACTACCAAGTTCCCCTAGAACTGCTTAAAGAGAGTCGAAAGATACCAAACAAATATTAACTACTAAGATAGAGAACTTTTTATTTACATCTAAAATATACTTTATATATCTAAATAAAATCATTGACACCACAAAAGAGGTTGGAGATACTAAGAATCAATAAAATTTCATAAAGCGAAAAGAAACCTTGTTATCAGAAACCCACTATCAGTGATAATACTAGCGTAATTTCATTCTTCGTGAGAGGTTTCTGTTCGGAGTCTGCCTCATAACAATACAAAACAAATTGACAAGAAGAGAAGAATATTTCGTTCACATAGAAAAGTCAAATGTCTGTTGAAAAACACATTCTACAAACGTAACTGATATGTTGTAAATAAAAAAAATTATAATGTCAGCTTCAGAGAATGTTTTAATTTGTACCAACGTTGGCCATTTATTTTTATGAAACAAAGTTAGACTAATTCTTTTAATCTGTCTGTAAGTTTAGAATGAGGAATTCGGTTTGTCTATTCTTTTGCAAGAGTAAAAAAGACTTAGATCGTTCACACTTCCATACACCTTTTCTCGCTCCGCGCACTATGATTAGTGGTGTATGGAAGATACTTCTAGCTGGATGAGTGAAGAGAGATAACTCTACATTTTTAAGTAGCATTTTCACAACATACAAAACTAAAGAAGTGAGCAAAACAAACTAAAACAAAACCCGGGGGTTATCTCAGGTGCTCCGAAAGGATAAGCAGATCCTCTCCCGAATGTGGCACCCGTCGTGTTGCTCATGTCAGTACAAACTCGTTGATAATTCTAATTTGGTGATGTATCATACCAGGAAAAGCAAGAAAGAGCACGGGATTATCGTTACGATAATTGGAACATATCCGTCGTCAACTGTGATAACGGTTAACCAAGCTTTCCTTAAAATTTTGGAAGGGATGACTTCAACTTCACCACTTTTAACCTTTGCTTAAATCGCTTTCTTGTTAGCAGCAACCTGTTATAAAGGAAATCAGAAGAGAAGCGATCTCAATGTCCTGCTAATGGACCAAGACCCTCAAACAAATGTCTCTATGAATTGCGGTTAGAAGTACACAAATACATCTTTTATGTTAAAGACAAAAAGAAAAAATATGTTAACTCTTAAAAATGTCACCGGATTGCTTCCGTCAAAATTGATTAAAACAGCATAAGGATGTAACAAACAATTTTGAATAACGAGTAACTCGATACATTCTAAAACAATTTCAAAGCAGTAGCGATGACAAGAAAAACAATGTACGGATCAACAGCGAATGTCATATGCAATAAACCTTTTCGAAACAAAACAATATCACAAGATCATCTAGCAGCGGGAAAAATTCGAACAAAAACGGAAACGTGGAAAGGCCTAATAATAACAATGATCAAATGACATTATCGAATTTATTAACATGCAATGTTGTAATTAGGCAGTTTTATATCATTTTTTTCAGTATTCTTACGTATTACCTATTATCCTTGACAGACATAATACGCGTAATCAGTGTTGTTTGGTTTATTTCAGTTATAATGATTATGAGTTATGGTCATATGACTGTTGCTTGATCATATGCATGTACGCCAAAATTTGGTATTTTATCTTACTTCTTTGTTGACATTGTTAAAATCTAAAATCAAATGTCATTTAAATATGTGCATATGCTTGTCATGCAAAATACGATTTTTTTTCATACAAGATGATCAGGAATACTTTTTAAAAGATTAAAGAATATCTATATTTCTGACTTCATGGGATAAGTATACTTTATTTGCCTTATATAATCAGTAATGTTGATATGAGAATATATATTATGTTATAGTACGCAAAGCAGATCAACATTTGATTGTCGTAGAATTTGACAAATATTAAATTGGGTTCGTGTTGCTTAGTCTTTAGTTTTCTATGTGGTGTTTTGTGTACTTTTGTTTGTCTGTTTGTCTTTTTCTTTTTTTAGCCATGGCGTTGTCAGTTTATTTTCGATTTATGAGTTTAAATGTCCCTCTGGTATCTTTCGCCCCTCTTTTGCAGAATTTGAAAAATTATATTATTGTAGCATTTGACAAACTAAATTATTGTAGAATTTGACAAATAGTTAGGCAACTGAAAATTTATGTAAACATATCAATAACAGAAACATTTTCTGTAAGAGTTAATGCTAATGTTTTGAATATACATACTCCATATCTGAATCAAAATTCAATGAGTTTAATAATATGTACAGTCTTTTGGACAACAAAAAACGCACTCAACAAAACCAAATGTAGCCCTCGTCTACGTTCTATTTTTAAGGACTGTTCAATGGAAGTATCAAGCGTCTTAATTCTTTCTGTACACAAAGCCCTCTATATAATACAAAATGTATATACGAGCAGTATAAGGGCAGTATTGCTTCCTTGTGAAGACAAAATGAAACTTTACTTGAGATCTTCTATTCAATTAAATGCTGCTTATTGGTAGCGAAATTAGGACGACTATTATTTCTAAAATATGCAATTCTTAATAAAACGTAATTATTTTTGGAAAAGTAATTATCTTCTGTCTGTCGCCTGTGTATTCGCGCAACGCGACATCATTGAATATGGTGCATTTTAAAGCTTTATGTATATCGTTTGTTGTTTTTCATCTTTTCATTTATTTGGTACAGAAAATGCACTTTTCCAAGATCTTCTAAGTATGATGATTAAAAAATGAAAACAGAGAAGGATAATGGTATGAACGGTGTCTAGTTATGTTTGTTGCGAAAATTAAAAGAACCGGATTTATCATTTGATCAGTCGTTACATTACAAATACAGATGTACATATAAACTTATCCAATATTCGTATAGTATACACATATCATCTCTTGGTACCCTGGTTTTATAATGCACGACCGGTTATATTTGTACTACTGTTAACAGCACAGCTCATGTTCGTGTCCTGCTTTAGGTCCGCGTCTAAGCAATATAGCTTTCAAAACAAAGACAACGACAATAACTGATCATATTAGCGTCGATGTTAAATTGAAGAATTTAAGAGGGAAAATATAAAAATGTACTCGCTACAAAACAGAAGAACAGCTCGGCGATCTATTCTATCTTTCTGTTAAAAAGCAATTATATACACATATAATTTTTATTTTTCCGACAATATCTGTAAATAGAATATATGAAATTGCATTCATTTTTATAACCATATATATGTGTGTGTGGACAGAAAAATTAAAAAACTCAAACAAACGTATGTCTTAATTCTATTGAGTCTGATTAAAATTTAATGAAGGCATGCAGGCATTACATCTATTTTTCAAATATTCAAAATATTGTAAAATAGTTATTTGCATAAAAAATACCAAATGACTTTTCGATTCATATCGTTCGTTTCCTTTTCGATTATTTTTTTTTTAAATAACATGAATGCACCAACCTTTTTTTCTTATGGTTAACATTAACCAAGAGCCCAGCAATAATAAAAGTAAAACATAACCAGTTGGGTCTGAAAATAACATTAAACGATATCAATTTTACTGCAACACATGCAAATTTCGACAATTATTATCTCTTTATTGATGTTTGATGACAAAAGATTTGAAAATAATCCATTTTGTCTGATGTATCCAAAATAACCAAAAGCTAAGCTAACCCAGACCTGGAATCAGACCTATGAATTGGAGAGATGCATTATTCCACAATTTCAAATAATCTAAGTTTTATAATATCAAATGTCTTAGTTATGCATTTCTTCGTCTTAAGCAGTTAGCAGCCTCAATATATCTTTACAAAACTTAAAACACTTTTAGTATATTTTATAGCATTAAACATGAAGAATGCTTCTTTTTGCTAGCAACATAGAAAAACTTAAAAATTTTACACATAACACACAGACACCGGTTAAAAGTAAAATAACAAAAATACCGAATTTCAAGAAAGATTAATTCAAAACGGAAAGTCCTTTATCAAATGGCAAAATCAAAAGCTAAAACACATCAAACGAAAGGAAAACAACATTCATATTCCTGACTTGGAACAGGCATTTCATACACCATTCTCGATTGGAATGCCTATATAAGGTATTCTGATACTGAAGTATTATGAAACATGTAATTACGTTCATGTGTAAAACAGGAGTCAACAGAATCCTTTATTTACAAATCTTTCTGGTGTCAATTTCAATTTAGTAATGCATTCTGACATCATATGCTCATAACTGAATAAAAGTAAATTATTATATATGTTTATATGCATGATTCAAGACACAGACACACAACCGAAAATATAATTTTGTGATAAAGCAAGTCTTTCAACTCAAACTTCACACGCTAACTTAAATTATTCTGATTTCTGTACAGGAATAAATCAACATGACAAATATTTTTCAGCCTTTGCAGTTTCTGTAACTGCTTAAAAAAACATTGGGAGCTGGCGAAACTGTAAAGGTTGACAAAGTCTAGAAGAACGTCAATAACAATTTTGATCCAAGTACTGACGTTTACACAGCTCCAAACCAGGGGTGTACCACTATTCATGTTCTATGGAAAAATGACATGAAGACAGTAGCTACTTTTCCTGGTAATCATGATCATAACATGGCTACTCTCAATATGGTATAAGAGCTTAAGAAAGGTGATAAGTATACATCAAGCAATGTGTATCAAGGACATACCTCTATAGTGAAGCTGCAAGTAATTTCAGTGTGTTTTCTGGATATCTTATTCGATGAATTAAATACATTCGAAAGAAGGCAAAATTAAGTAACTAAATGTTTTTTTTTCTGTTTTTATTTTTCTATCAAATTCAAATACACACTCTTGTACTTTGTCATGTGTGAAGCGCTTACAATTCGCCATTTAAGATTCCCGAGTATTCTCGAAATTTTGATCCAGTTCACGGGGTTTTATTGGGGTATTTTTTTGGAAAATCCAGACCAAAAGAAGTACTGCAAATCATAAAAGCTTGCACAAAAAGGTCTTAGTAAGAAATAGTTTCCTTCAGTCCAATGTTTGAAGTCATATAAGTACAATATTTGCCAATTCAGAGTAAGATGTCAGGCTAGGGAGCTGTTTTCTCCGATTCCGAATCCCGGAATTTTAAATGTTCCAAAAAACATTAAAATTTCTTTTTTGCTGTACTAATTGTGTAAGGTGGTTAACGTTTGCCCAATACCTCCTTTTTAAAAAGAATCATCAAAGAAACCAGGATTTAGAACACCAACACCAAATGCGCGTTCTGTCTTAATAAGACTCATCAGTGGCGCATACATCTCTCATAATATGTTTTAATTATTACTAGACATTAAGAATAGAAAATTACCAATATACAAATCCCAGGTATGTTTAAAATATCAATGTTCATTTACACCGGTAACTTTGAAGGAAGATTGATGCTATAATGTCCAGTAAAATTGGTAACCATTAATTTTATTACTACAACTGGGTCGATTCCTCTGTAGGTGGACTGTAAGTACCGATGATATCACCAGCTCAGTAGCCCGTTTTTTTGGTACTGGCATGAAAATACGGATATCTTTTAAATTGAAATTTGCTATCATAAAATATTAAGTTCTTTATTAGGGAATGTATAGCTCCGATTCCTTTGCCTGTCCTGGTTTTGCTCTACCTTTTGTTTTTTTCAGGATATATCAGTTCTTCAATGTTTGTATTAGATTTTGAATTTTAAAACATTTTGGCCTCGATACACTATTTGTCGAAATGTGCAAATTCGCAGTAAAATTGGTATCGTTCACTGGGTTGATACCTCTATATAATGCAATATCCATCTCCGAGGGTTCAACCAGCCAATTTGTATTGTTGACGTTATTAAATCCGTGTTCGTCTCCATTGTATATCAACAGTTAACAGTTGACGTAGTAGTCAGCACTTTTGTAGGTTTTTTCTACAACCAGGCGTAGATAATTGAAGTTGTATTAGGCACAAGTTATCAGAATATTCGGTTATAAATGCTCTTCAACTTCAAATTTGATTTCCCCTTCCAACTGATTTGATACGAGTGAGTCTTTTGTAGACGAAAAAAGTATAACAAAAGTATCGAACTCCAAGGTAAATTGAAAAAAGGGGAAGTCCATAAAAACTGACGAAATCAAACATTACCAATCAACGGAACCAGTGAAAACAGCTGTAATATTCCTGACTTGGTACAGACATTTCCCGAAGAAAATGGTGGGTTAAACCTAGTTGTATAGCTAGCTAAGCCTCCTACTTGTATGACATTTGTTTATAGTTTCGTTATATTAACAAAATTAGGCAACCCAAATAGACAAAATAGGTGAATGTATGTGACAATAACTGGTATCCAGCAGCCAAAAATGTGTAAACATACTTCACAACCGACTAAAAAATTCAAACAAATATACAAATAAATCTATCACAAACTTTTGTGTTGACATCAAATATCATTGAAATGTTCAAGTTCTGCAAATGGACTTTTTATAAAATGTTGAATTATTCGAAACACTAAGGTTTTTCTACCCCCAGGCATATTTATACTGGCTCTAACTACTTAATACCACGTGCTTTGCAGAGAAGCAGCAACTATCAATTGTTCAAGACTTTGGTTAATTGAACAGTCCAGTCAATCCCACGAACTACCACACTTCAGACGGGCACGAGTAAAAAGAAATTGTTTTTCATCGGCCAGAAGGACAGATTCGAGGAGAAAGGAATGCCTTTATATGCAATTGTGGACGGACGTATAAAATCGAATTCAAATTTAAATTTTGATCAGATTTTGATTATAAAATCTTAGACAAAGGCTTATAATTCAATAACAGTTTATACTATACAGTGCTTTAATTAGGTCAAAACAGGCTTACTGGAATGTTACTTGTTTTAATCCTAAGTTATGTTTATAACAACAGCAGCTTGCTTATCGGTCAGTTGCATCGTTTTCTTCACTTTGACCAGTTCACACCCAAAATAACTAGATATCATTGAGATGGGAGCCATCTCTGTGGGCCCCGCTGTGAATAATGTGCGTTAAAAAATTTGTATCTTTACCATAGGACATGGGGTTGTGAACTGAAACCAAAGTTTTTGACCTTGACCTTTGACCTTTGAAGTTGTACATAAATTATGACACACCCTTTGGTGTTGGTTTGTATACATGTAAAGTATAAACTTTGAAATCATACCTGTTCTCAAGATATAGAGCGGACACGATCTTTACTATAGGACATGGGGTTGTCAACTGAAACCAAAGTTTTTAACCTTGAACTTTGACCTAGGAAGTTGTACATAAATTATGACTCACACTCTGGTGTTGGTTAATATACATGTCAAGTATAAACTTTGAAATCATAACGGTTCTCAAGATATAGAGCGGACACGATCTTTACCATAGGACATGGGGTTGTCAACTGAAACCAGTTTTTGACCTTGACCTTTGACCTAGGAAGTTGTACATACATCATGACACACCCTCTGGTCATGTCAAGTATAAACTTTGAAATCATAACGGTTCTCTATATATAGAGGGGACACAATTTGTTACGGACGGGACGGACAGACGGACAGACTGATCACTATACGCGTCCGACATTCGGCGGAGCCCTAATTATTGTGGACGTCTCATAAGTGGCTTCAGAGAAATTGTTTGCAAAGTTTATGCGAGACGGACAACTTACAAACAGTAATGCCAAATTCCTCTACTGTCTTTTAGGGCAGGTGAGTTGAAAATCATACCAACTTCGAGAATCATTGGTTGTGATCATTGAGGGGTAAAGATTGCTTTCATTTTGCAATGTGTTTTTAATTGCAAAGGAGCAAATTTAGACAATATATGTATTTTGAACTGGAGTTATCTTCCTTTGTCTTTAATTGCAGTTGAATCGAACTAAGAATAGTTTTCTTTACAAATATGGTATTACTTATACACATCGTTTTCTAAATTGAATTTTGGAGTATATACTATTATTTTGTTGCTTGACATGGGTATAGATATGATCTAAAACATAGTCAACTCACTTCACTATATTGTTTTAACTGTAAAATGTAGAGATCAGGCCTGAAGATATAGCTAAAAAGCTTGAATTTCATGCAATCTTTTCCCCCAAAACAATCATTTTGTCTTGCAGCAATATAAATAATACTTTTAACTTGACAGAATTATTTTACAAATGTTCAGCTGACATCATCCACTCGGAAACACTTCTGTTCTGACAAAATGTTCCACTAGATACGCTGCTAAGGTACAAAATTGAAGTTGATATGATTCTACTACAGACTAAAACATCCAATACTTTAATCAGTGAAGCATTTTACGTTGTCTCCTGATTTATACAACTTAAGTCTGTTAGTTAAACTTACTTCTGCTTGTTAACATTAACACAATTTTGTTTTCCTGCTTTATAAGTTACTCATTGTATTGTTTGAATTACCATACGAATCTAAAGAAATACAATCATAAAAAACAATTAAAATATTTTTATTGTACATATAAAAGTAAACAAAAAACGAATTGCCCCATTGTACATTACAATTGTTAATAAATATTAAAGTATAAAATAATGCTACATCTTACCAACCAAATAATGCTTGGAGAGTTAAACCAATTGTCAAACTGATTGAAAAGTAGACATTTTCCTAGTTCAAATGAAGCTTTTGCAGCAATCTGTTTAGATTCAAAAAAACATCTTGTATTAGATTGTTCATATATTTCAAATTACAGGTTTCCAATTTTAGAATTTAACACACAAATGGAAACAACTACTACGCAGGATAAACTGTTTCCCTGCATATACTAATCTTAAGAAGCATGTGTTGATAGCACCTAAAAATGTGAAAAGCATTTATCAAGTCATATTTGTGTCAGATCTCATACAATACACCATGCTCCTTTCACTTGCTATGCATAGGAAGGGATATATACAATGTGTCCTAACTTAGTAACTAGGAATAGTTTCTTTTTCCCCAAAAAAGTCTAAAATTGGAACAAAATCAAGGCTTGGAAAATTGATTATGGTCACTGAATTTAAAGGTAAACAAACTGGTTCATTTTTCAGCAAAGAGTATTGCCAATTTACCCTGAATTTATGAAGGACATTATTTACCAAACCATAATTATGTTGGAAGAACATCAGTTCTATGCATTGTCTTTCAGGTACAAATTAATTCATTTTGGTTAGCAATGTCATTCGATGCAAAATTTTGTATAAAATATGCCTTTGACAGTAACATGAAGCCCTGAATACTTTAATGATTTTATGAAAATATGTAAAATTGTGAAATGCTATGCAGACAAATTTTCAATTTCCAGTAGGATTTGACAGCTTTTAGATTTGCCTCTGATTGAAACAAATAGTGAAAATCAGACCTACTCCTATTTTTTTTATTATTTTTTTTCCTTTTATGGTTTAAATTACACTGTTAAGTTGAAAGATGATAGCTTTTAAAATAAAGCCTTGTTAATTAAACTGTGGCGGTTACAACACATTTACAATATACAACAAAGCAGTTACTGTAAGTTACTGGCAGGACTAGCTGATGTGTAAATATGATGTCAACTTGCAGGAAGTCAACATAGACTCTGGACTGGATAGTTTTGTACAATCTGATGTTGCCTCAATTTTTCAAAAATAGTAAATGCATAACCACAAATATTTAAGTCATCAACCTATATATATAATCAGCATTATTCTTATCATGTTTACAAAAATATTTCATAACCGTATAAATTGTTCAAACTCTTCAATGCAAACATTATAACATAATTCATACTTTTAAGAAACCATACAATGTATAAATAGTATAAATATATAAATATATACATAAAGAGCACCTTATACTTTGATACATCAAAAGCTTTGCAATGATTAAATACTATCATCATTCTAATCCCTAACACCGATGAAGGTACAACTTTTCACTAAATCATTTCATGTTTTACCTTTTTTGTACAATCCAAAAGATATGGATACAAGATACAAACAAGCACATATGTAAAGATCTTTTAGACCTAACAAACAAAACAAATGGTATCTCTAAAAACTCTTTAACAAGCTTAACATATGGTCTATTTTCTGTTTCATAAGAAATTAAAACGCATGCCCTTTTATGTTTGTGCCTAGCTGTGACTTAGACATGGTCTATAACAAGATCAATGACATTCAACCATCAACTCCTCAGTTTTAAAATATTTGTTTTTACCTAAAAATCATACCTTTAGCAGACTTATGATGACAATATCACATCAAGAAAGAATGATTTTTTATGTTTTCAAAAATGACATTTGATACATTTTCATGGGAAATAAATATGTGCAAATAATACATCATAACGCTATGATTGCTAATTCGCTAATTAGGTATCACTATTTTAGAATGTAGGCAGCCATTAAATATCTTCATAATATGAAATGTATTTCTGCTGTGACTTTAAGGGACAAACTTGTAAGGGACTAAACTTACAAGTTTTGTAGGATTTCCAAAAAAATGTTTATATGAATGAAATAATGTTGTGATTCTCTCCCTTTGAAAGATTGCTGGCTAACTAAGGCAGGACTAGAATAAAATTCTACATCAATAACATATTGATCATAAACTAAAGTTGCTTTTATTCACATACATTGTATATCAAAAAGCTGTCTTTCTGGGATACAAAGATCAAATGATAACTACAAGAAACACAGCAGGGATAAAATATTTAGTATCAACTACAGAAACGCAGTAATAACTCTGGACCTATATCAGTGGAAGACTGCCAATAGGGATGGAAGCTCTGTTAGATTTATCCTAATGTAAATTGCACGTCAGAATATTATGCTTGGCAATAGAGTAAAATATATCATTTTAAATATCACTGCAGCAGATTAGGTGCTCATCCATACCAATTCTCAACTTCAAATATTTCAGTGTGAAAATTTAAGTGTAAACATTTATCTTTTTCAGATTCTCATAAAAATGAGAAATATGTACCCATATATCTTACAAAAGGTAATATTTCTCTGAGAGTTTGCACTCATAAAACACAATTATCAAAATTTGAGGTTTAATGTATGACATTTGTAAGCTTGAACTCAAAACGATATCTGAATAAAATGTAAATGGGAAATGCCTGATGTTTACAAATGGAGTAAACTTTCTTTACATTATGAGAAAATGGCTCTCATTAAACCTTAATCTCAAAGTCTTAAGACTTTTGGTAAGTAAATTTTTACCCTAGAATTTTTTTAAAGGATTGGTGACCTGCAGAAAGGAGAGTGGCCATGAATCCTTAAGGCATATACAAAGAAATATAGAATTTCAAATTTAAATTATAGGTGCCTGAATTAATGCATTAAGTTAATTTGCACAAAAGACAGACTACTGACAAAGTGGAAAGTATTTGCTTCCATTATTTTGATATAAGGAGTCCTGAATAGTCACATTTTTTTAACTACCATGCTGGTATCTAAGAACAATGAAAAAGTACTTTCTGTTGCCATAGTCTCTTGCATATTAATTTTTTTTAGTAATTACTGGCTTTAAAAAATAAGGCACTTGAATAAACATAACAACTCATTTATGACTACAAAGTCTGTTTTGTCCATAATTGGCTGAATAACCATAATATTATAACTTAGTATCTGAACTTGGGGCTGTAAATTCATACAAATTTAATGAAGCCAAAAATAGACCAGAGTGACAACAATTCATATGAATTCAACAAAGCCAAAAAAAATAGGCCAGAGTGACAAAATTTTCCTTAGAATTTTTTATACTCTTTTACAAAATGTGTTTAATGCATCCTTATCCCAAATTGTAAAACTCAAATGATGTAAATGGAGGGAAGACAATGTATAGGTCATATTGACCTACTTTTTGAATGAATATGTTATACTAAAAAATATTTGTCCTAATACCAAGTTCTATCAGTTGTGTCACTTAATATTAGGGATTTTAACACTATACTCTATAGTGACAATGGAGCTAAAAATATAGACTAGACTAGAGGGACTTATGCTTGTGGGAGGCTGATATACTTCCCATGGTGAATCCTAACAAGTTATATGATTGTAGGTCACTTACTTCATGAATTTTGAAATAGGACTTAAAACCAAATTGGTATATTAATGAAAAATGTAGGTCATTATGATTTTCCATTAATGGGAGACTGTACCATTCCCACTAATGCATCCTTACACCAATTACATGGTTGTAAGTCACCTTATATCGCACAAAACTCAATCAAAGTTGCTTAAGCATAATATGTATATTAGATTGACCTGAATTAAATGTGAGGCTTTAATACTCACTTAGACACACCCTTACATCATGATATAGGATTGTAATAGACTTAGTCTCTGAGAACAGAACTTGGACATAAAACAAACTGAAGTTTAAAATCAGTAGCACATCTACTGAACCATGAGACATGGTCAGCCTCTCCGTGATGCATAATTACAAAGTAGTCCCCTCAAATTTGATACAGACTATCAAAATATTTTGTGTAATCAACAATATACTCATTTCAAACTTAAAGTTTACTTGCAATTGACAGAAAATGCTGATTCTTCTGTCTTTTCAAAGTCGTTTTTCAATTAAATCCAAAATTTAAAGTATTTCAAAATATTGTGTTAAGCAAATGCATGCATATAAACTTATATCTAGCAAATATCACTTGTAAAAATATAAATGTACAAACAAAATAATACTGGTCTAGTATTTTCCTTTGGTCCAATCTTTAATAACATCATTTGATCCTGTAAATAATAGTAAATATACTACTACTGGAATATTTGCTATATAATGTAATAATTAAATTTTGGATGTAACACGTCTTCTGATTGGCTGAAAGTTTTTTGTCTATCAGCTCATAGACATAATTTTGTCATGTGACCGTGACGTCATCAACGTTTTTTCATGATTTACTCCTTAAAAATGGAATTTAGAATTACATGGGTTATTTAAAAGTGTGCACAACATTTTTGAGGTTATTTCAAATAGACAGAAAAAGATATTACAGTCATTCCTTAAATACATAGAATGATCTAAATAAGATTCTCTGACAAAAGATTGTTTAAAATAATGCCAATTGCAATAATATAAATTCTTATAATGTTTTATCACAATTGAATGAAAGAAGGTGAATCCTTTATGAAAGATTTTCTCCTCTTATCTGCACATAATGATGAAAAGATGTTTGTGCTTAATTATAAAATAATCAAAGTATGTTTTAAAATAAAAACATTATAGTCTATAAAGTTAAGATATAGTTTGAACTTTAGACTTATGAATAACAGATCTACTACAGTTATTACATAGTCCACATTTTTCTTCAGTATTATGTATCTCAAGTCCAATGAGTATATCAACATTTTTTAACTGGATCTGATAATTAACTGCAGTAAACTAATATATCTGTCATATCTGTTTTTCATAAATTGTTTTGTTATAAATTAGGCAGTTTGCAGTTGAAGACCGTACGGATGGCAACAGTCCTTTTGCGCCAATTACTGTTTTTCAGGGGTATCATTTGCACCAATTTGTTTTTTTCAAAAGTATCAATTGCGCCAATATTCGGAACTCATTTGCGCCAATTTACCTTTACACATATTTTGCATAATATTACATATTACTGATTAATATGTATTTTTGTTATTTTTGGCTTATAAAGTATCACATGTGCGGGGCTATTTCAAGAGGAGAATTTCTTGAAATGCATAAGAAAGCCTATGCACAGAGAGAGAAGAAAACTTTGCTGAAGATTTAATACATGATAAGCCAAAACAGAAAAAAATAAAACTTTTGCTGATTATTTTAAAGCCATATATGTTGATGACATTGCTTTGTTCCCACCATTCGTATGAACTGAAACCCCATCTACTGCAAGACGTACATATATTGGGGCAGAGGCATTCCACAAGAATTACAATGAACTGTTGTGCATCCCATCCTTTAATGTTTGTACTGTTGGACAATATAGTGAAGCTACAAGCTACTACATACATTAAATTGCGTAGCAGCAGTAAGAAGTAGACATGTTTCAGAAAATAAAACATTTTCGGTGTAAAGGCCGGTCCCAAGCCCGGATAAAGTAGGAGGGAAGTCATTTTTCTTTCAAATGGCGCAATCGTATGTTTTATTTTTGGCGCAAAAGATACTATGTAATTTTAAAACCGGTGGCGGGACTGTGGCGCAAACGTAGCATTGGAGAAAAAAGTTGTGGAGCAAAAGGACGCATTTTTGGCGCAAACGGATGTCCCCCGTACAGATACCTATACTTGTTTACATCCACTTCATTCAAACTTTGGTGGATAGTTGTCTCATTGGCAATCATACCAAATCTCCTTATTTTTATATACTATAGTTAGTCAAAATTATTAATTGTTAATTTTTCTCAGTGTAATATTTCACACTTTTTTTATATAAAGTGTGAAATATAAAAAAAAATACTATCTTTTCAGCTGCTGGGTTCTCACTAAGGCCAGTCTATGACAGCAAGCCATGAAAATCTGTCTTGACTCATCATTTTCAAAACTGGTGAGTCCAAAGATGCATCAAGATTGTAAAATGTTGTAACATCTGAGCACAAACATCATCATTTTATGACAAAAATAATTAAAACTTGATGTCATTTCCTTGCTCTATTTTGTCATGGGGACTAAAATGATAAATTATCTAGAAATAAAATTTCATCTCCTCACTGCTGGACTTACCATGGCCAAAAATTACGAGTCCCTGGACTCGCCTTCAAAATTCCTAAGTGAGAACCCTGTGCTGTGACCTTCAGTCTTACCAATGTCAAAAAGAGGCATCTTCACTCTGTCCTTGCTGAATACTGTATAGTTTCATGGCCAAGGTGTCTCCAAAAGTGTTTCTATATCCAGGACTCAAGTTATCTAATAAGGCATATATGGTCTCATAACATCTTGATTCCAAGTTGTCAATCTTATCAAAATGCCGACTTACAACCTGTGATTAAAATTATTCAGAATTAAAGAATCTGTATATATGAATAACACTACATGTATACATTACTTGTTTTCTTATAAATCTATTATCTTTTTATGTAGAACATGTAGAAGGAAAGACAATTTTAAACCTTCATCCCTTTTTTCTTCATAAAATTTTGTTAACTTCTATATTTATTCAAATGAATATATAAAAGTTAACCACCAACAATAACCAGCATTTATTGTAAAAATTCCCATTACAAGTGAGATTTACCTCACCTGATTCCCTCAATGTAAACTTTATATACCATTTAGTAGGAAAAATAAGAGTGATAAACTCATCCATGTCATGTGACAAAGTTTTCAAGTCACAACTGGAGATTTGAAAATTTTCATCTGGAGTTTGGGCTTCATAAATGGAGATTTTTTATCAATGTTTTCAGTGTTTATTTTGATGATAAAGCTACACATTTCCCTTTTTTTAGATAACAGTATTACTATTAACGTATTCTCTCAACAAGATAAATGTATTATTGTTGGTTAGTTGGAAGAGAACATTTCTTATACACTCCTCACAAACCCCTCACTTACATCCCATCCCTAAAAAAATTATTTGGAAAATTTTTAGTTGCACATGTATCCAGCACTTGGTTTTGTACTGCATTCCCCTTGTATTTTAGTCATTTCTGTTTTGGTAATGAAGATATATCAATAAATAATGCAAATGTATATGTTGAATGAAATGACATTTACAATGCCATTTCAGACCATGTTTTCATTCAACATTGATTTTTAGCTAAAACTTACATAACCTTTGGAAACATCTGTTTGACATTTTAAAGTCAACAAACAAAATGTAGAAAGTCAACACATATAAACAATAACAATATCCTAATTTTATCATAAATACCAGTCATGCTGGTAGGGATCTCCGGGAAAATTTAACTATGGAGGAACTTTCAAAGGGACAAAACCCTCCTTGTTGTGGTTGAAATCATTGCAATCCTCCATTTCATTGTAAGAAATAGTGAATAGACTGATACATGTACATATATATTGTTTATTGTAATAATTTCAATATTGAATAACCAATATTATCATTAATTGTCATTTGTAATAATTCCAATATCAAGCCTGGCTTTTCTTTGTCAGGGATGACCACAATCAAGCTGTCCTGTTAATCATGTTAAAATCTGGATCAAAACATGTGGATTAAAATTACTTAGACCAGTGAGAGAAAAAATTAATGAACCATCAAAACCACTGTTTTGTGCATTTTAGTTAAATGAATAAAGATATGGATTAATATTGATACATGTAGATGTATACTGTAGCTGTTTAACTTCCAGTGCGAACTAAATGCATTTTTAGGACAAGAACATGTTAATGTGATATCAATATCAACCCTGCTATGTACTAGAGGCGAGTACGCTACCACAAAACCACTGAGTAAGCCGTATTTTTAACATGCTAGTTCACAGGGTAACAGACTGCAGATATGTCACCCTACATTTGTACCGGGACACATTATACTGACTTCAAGCCAAGCAGTCTTTTCTATAACTCCTTAATGTTGTGTGCTAAGCCGAAAAACAGTAATTATTAATTTTAAAGTCTTTGGTTTGACCTGGCCGGGTTCGAACCATGACCTCCCACACACGAGGCAAACACACTACCATGAGACCACTGAGGGGGTAAAATAACTTAGAAAGGTAGTCCAAAAAGTGTTGTACTGAAATAGGTTTTAAAAAAAGATCAGATATCTTTTGTTATTATAAAGCATCCATTCAACTATGCATCCCATATTGGCTAATAGGACCTGAAACTATTTTAGTGTTTAGACCGTTGAAGGTTGGGATGGTTTTCTTAAGATACATTACAGTGTAATACCCTGTGTCCTTGCGGCAGATGGTATTGCTCATTAACTGATTTCATCATATCGGCAAACCTACATATAGAATCGTTCTTGTACTTGTTTTAGTTTTTCACAGGGACAGAAAATGTTTAAATTGAAAAGTTCAAGCATAAATTTATAAATGCAATCATATTTAATCATTTTCCTTTAAAATTAATGACATCTTTTGATAAAATTGTTTCATCATAGGGATTTTTTTTTATCAAAATGAAAAAAAATTTAGCTTTTGTAAGTATATATATATATATATACATGTATTTATGAGAATGATGAAAAAAGATTTAAAAACAAATCAAAACAATAATCTTGAAATCATACAAATTAATTTATAGAAATTCATACAATTTATCGAACATCAATAAATATGTTAAACTTTTACTCCAACTGTATGTAGTTGAAGCTACAAACATATATTTTTTTATAGAACATCAATAAATATCATGAATATGTTAAACTTTTACTCAAATTTTGTGTAGTTCAAGCTACAAAAATATTTTTTTGTCATGCATCCGATTTCACCTTGAGAGATGCACACGCCTGATGAAGCTAATTTGTTTAGCGAAATATTGCGTATTTCTATTTAAAATCTAATAGAACTTTTTAATGTATTAATTAGAGTGTTTAAGTTATATTCTTAGACATTTATAAAATTTTAATTCGGTAACTGTATCAGTTTATTTTCACAAACTGATCCACGCCTAAATAGATTGGATGTTGATTGTTGCTATTTTTAGACATTATATATACATGTATTCACATTTTACATGTATATAGAGAGTAAAGATGAAAATAAAAGCTTTAATTAATATTAATATTAATATTTATATAATATAATTACATTACATAGAAGTTTCATATGATTTGACAACCAACCATGTATTTATTACCTTTGGTGCCAAAATAAAAGAGATACTTGATTAATTAAATCTAATTACATGAATTATTTACTCATTTGTTGCATGTTAATGTTCTTACATTACTCTGAAAGCTTGGTAAAAGTTATTTATCATCATCAAAGATTAATAAATTAGTAGAAATGACTCATCTTAATCAGGGTGAAACAACCTGGATTCAAAGTAAGGGTACAATGTAGGTAATGGGAGGGGGAGGGCAGGAAACAAGTTGAGAACTATATATATATATATATATTATAATTGTAAAACATTCACTATAACAATGACATACAAATTTGAATATTTCTCACATGAAATCAATGTATGTACCGTTAAATACTATATCAGTAATACCTAATTATGAAGACCCCTCCCCCTTTTCCCAATTTTTCAGACGACAAGCAACAAAATGAACAACTACTGTGAGTCTTGTGGTTTCACACATTATCCTATGATATGGAACGATTTCAAACTATACAGAACGTTCTACAACACTGTCAAATTAATTTTACTATAACCCGTTTATAATTTCAAGAATTACTCATCACACTTTCAACTATCTATTTCCCATGTCTGCTTACCCTGAATCCACGAACTGACAATTCCACGCAGAATTCTTCATTTTCCTTCGTTTCCAAATTGAGATAAACTAGTTGATTGTTGCTTGGTAAATTAGGAGATATTATAACAAACTTTACAGCGTATGACACTTCTTTTACAACTTCTTCAGCTTCTATACGAAGTGTATGTTCATCATGATCCATTACAAATGGGAGGCAACTCTATTACTCTAAATATCAAAAGGGAGATAATACTTTTTTTGTTTGTTTATGCATCGCCTTTTTTTTTTATATTTCACCAATAATTATTTTAATCAAATTTATGAATTAAATACCATATGGGAATTGCTGACACATATCGACTTATAATGTATTAGGCCCAGATTGATAAAAAATTACCTGCATGCAAACTGATAACTTCCCGCAGCGTTAGCAGAATTTCAATACAAGAAAAAATTATTTTGATTCGGCATAAGTTTTCAACACGAGCTCTAAGGAGCTTTTGACCGAATATAAAAATATATACATAACATAAAAACAGTCTAAGATATAAACAACCTGCAATACAAAGTTGAATCTCACTCATAGCATGCAATAAAAATTTAGCAACAAATGTAGAATGGAGTAAAGCATTTATCTAATATATGTTTTTGGGGCCCTTTATAACTTGCTGTTCGGTGTGAGCCTATGCTCCGTGTTGAAGACCGTACCTTGACCTATAATGGTTTACTTTTATAAATTGTAACTTGGATGGAGAGTTGTCTCATTGGCACTCATACCACATCTTCCTATATCTATTTACCTATTTAAAAGGTTTACCGTTAAAAATATGGTAACTATCTAAATAGATAGATTTCTTTTATAAAAATCAAATTAGAAAAATATCTCTCAATAATGACAATTATAAAAAAGGTATTTTTTTTATCCAAACTGGGCCTTATACATTATAAGTCGATATGTGTCACCAATTCCCATATGGTAACTGACTATGCGGTACGGTGACCTACAGTTGTTAATTTCTGTGTCATTTGGTCTATTGTGGAGAGTTGTCTCATTGGCAATCATACCACATCTTCGTTTTATATCTAATGATACATTTGGTCCCAGATACATTGTAATTTCAGTTATATCTTTGAATAGTATATCATGTCCTAGTAGGCGAGTGACATTATTCCGAAAAGGACGCTTAGTTGACGACTTTAATGCACCCACCTAACATACGGCTATATTATACATCATTCGAAAGCTTATTATCTGTATCAGTTTTACCCGGTCGTCAACAATTCGTACGGTGCAATTTTTGTTAAATCAAGGTCAAAGGTTAAGAATGAACATTCATAAATTTCGCAAGTATTAAACAAAATGACCTTTGCTGTTTTTTTTGTGATATTTTTTTTCTAAAAATGATATGATCATAATAGAACAGAATACCATTATCAAAATCAAATGCACATTAAATGTTAATTGCGCAATATTTACAGAAAACTGCAATTCTTATTACAAAAATCCTTCAAAAATAGTAACATTGCGATAAAAGCAAAATATTTCTTAAGGTAGCAATATTTAATTGCAAAAATAAAATTAATTTATCGTTTATAGGTTCAGGGTTATTTTTTTTCGTCATTTAAAACTGCAATTAATATAATAATGGTCAGGAATCAGCCTTCTAAAGAAGCTTTACCATATGTAAAAAGGGTAATAAAAGTGCTTAAACTGTTTGCACCACGTGCACGCGCTTTATAATCACAAGTCCGGGTATTTCTTTTTTTGTTAGAACATTATTACATATACTTCATTAGTTGTTTTATCAAATATGACTGAAATTGATATTGTGGAAGATTGAGTACCCTTCCTGGGCAACTTCAATTACCACCGGTTTAAGTTAGTGTTCGTACATTTCGGTGTATTGTTTAGAAGACTGTTGTTTGTCTCTCTTACTTTTATCGCTTTGGTGTTATATGTGTGATATATGTGTGTTTATCGAAAATGTAGGAATGATATTGTCCTTACGTTCATTTGTTTTTGTTCTTTCCGTTCATATGTCCATCCATCGATCAGTTTAAAATCTTTGTAATGAGCAATACTCCTCCTACATCGCTGGTAAATTTTAGTGAAGTTCAAAGTTTTGAAGTGCACATATGGAGATTGTATATGAAGGGATATAAGGATATTATTCATGATATACACATTCAAATAGAGTGAAATAGAAAGCAATTCAAATTCATCATTTAAGTCCTGCGTTTAAGTTATCTCATTGTCAACGCTTGTTTTTCTCACATTTAAACACACCATTTTGTATTTTTTTTTAAGTCATCTAAGTCCTATTGCAGTTATGAGATCTTCTCACCATTAGAAACCAAAACGAACAGACTATAGCATGCAAAGCATTGGAATGTAAAAAAAATCAACAATTTTACTTTTTCATGTTATTGTTTGGATAAAGTTTTAGGGTTTTCTTTATAATTTAGTTTTTGAAAAGACAATACTTCAGACGAACTAATTTTGGCAATCAGTTTATTTACGCGACTTTTGTGATTAGAAAAATAACGCTCTAGTACGTAAATAAAGTGTGAAAATCGCCAAAATTTCGCTGCCAGGTCAACAACAGAAGCTTAACGCGGCAAAATGAAAAGTGCTAGGTTTTTCATAGGACTGGTTTGAAGATGACATTATTCTGAGAAATCCTTTTGATAGATCTGTATATATACATATATATAGTCTAAAAGATCATTCAATTTTATGGACTTTGAAAGACCAGGAAGGTCTCATCGTCATTTATGCGGTCTCCGGTAGGTTTTCACTATATATTTTGAATATCAAACTGGCACTTTGAGCCCTCCATAAACATAGAAGACAAAAAGTTTACCCAAATTCCTTTTGGTGTCATTTGTATCTTTATATTAACTTACTATCTGTATAATGTTATGAAGATTGAGAGATCAGGGGGGTCTAGCCATCGCCCTGTGCCTTTTTACCTGAATTTTCGACGATTTTTAGTTGAAAAGTGACAATTTAAGCTCTCCGTAGTTATCGAAGATGACATTATTCTGGGAAATCCTTTTGATACATAGTCTAAAAGATATTCAATTTTATGGACTTTGAAAGACCAGGAGGGTCTCACCGTCATTTAAGCGGTCTCCGGTAGGTTTTCACTATATATTTTGAATATCAAACTGGCACTTTGAGCCCTCCATAAACATAGAAGACAAAAAGTTTACCCAAATTCCTTTTGGTGTCATTTGTATCTTTCTATTAACTAACTATCTGTATAATGTTATGAAGATTGAGAGATCAGGGGGGTCTAGCCATCGCCCTGTGCCTTTTTACCTGAATTTTCGACGATTTTTAGTTGAAAAGTGACAATTTAAGCTCTCCGTAGTTATCGAAGATGACATCATTCTGGGAAATCCTTTTGATACATAGTCTAAAAGATATTCAATTTTATGGACTTTGAAAGACCAGGAGGGTCTCACCGTCATTTAAGCGGTCTCCGGTAGGTTTTCACTATATATTTTGAATATCAAACTGGCACTTTGAGCCCTCCGTAAACAAAGAAGACAAAAAAGTTTACACAAATTCCTTTTGGTGTCATTTGTTTCTTTATATTAACTAACTATCTGCATAATTTTATGAAGATTGAGAGATCAGGGTGGGGGGGTGGGGGGTCTAGCCATCGCCCTGTGCCCTTTTACCTGAATTTTCGACGATTTTTAGCTGAAAAGTGACAATTTCTTTTTTTTTCTACAATTAATTCTATTTATATTTTTAAATGTTACTAAAAATAAAATTAAAAGTGATCGTTTGTTTTTGTTTCTAGAAATATCATGTATAAAAGTACAACTTTGATTGCATTTTATTGATAAAAATCTATATTTCATAAAGAAAAATATGCGATTTACATAAAGGTTTATATTTGAGGACAACGGGAATTTGCGACAGCTTGAAGGGGTCATAAAACGATTTCCTACTTATCTTTTTACTCCTTTTATCTATGACTATCATTTTTTAAACGTTATCGAATATTAAGATTTTTATTATCTTCAACTAAGAAATTTGAATATCGAACCGACTGCTAGCAGCCGGTTGGATATCGAATAACGAATAACGAACCGGCCGCTAACTTCACATACATCATTTTCACTGGAATTTCTGGAAAAAGGCGCTGTTCATTAAAAAAAAACGTCATTAATATTTTAAAGTGCGTTTGATAATTGACTAATAGTCTCTGTTCTAAAAGTTTTTCATATTTCTATGCAGATTTTTATTATTTAGAAGACAGAATACAGGGGCGGATCCAGCCATTTATAAAAGGGGGGTTCCTAAACCAGGATAAAGGGGGGGTTCCAACTATATGTCCCCATTCAAATGCATTGATTGTAAAAAAAAGGGGGAGTTCCAACCCCCGGACCCCCCCCCCTGGATCCGCCACTGGAATATGCAAAAAATGCTGACGTCTTGTAAAATAAAAAAACTGTCCGTCCTTGACTTTATATCGTGATTTGACAGAAATTGCACCGTACGAGTATTTGACGACCGGACAAAAAAGATAGTACAGATGCTATACTTTCGAATGGTATATGATTTAGCCGTATGTTAGGTGAGTGCATTAAAAATGAAATTTTATTGTTAATGTTACTCGACTATAGGTTATACAGAAGAATTTAATGAACATTCCCTTTATAAGACAAAACAAAGAAAGTGAGATAAATTATAAAATGTCTTAGAGTATTTATTGTACTATGATCATTTATATATGCCCATGTCAGCTGAAATGAAAATACAAAAACACAAAACAAAGAAAAATCACACTAGAGTATAACTTGCGCGTTCTAGTATTGATTTTTTGTTGTTGTTGTTGATGTTAAATTTGTTTAAACCTTTTCGCTGTTCCTCTAATAAATAAACTACACAAGACAATACAAATTTTACGGTGATGTTGTTAATATAAAAATAAGGAGATGAGGTATGATTGCCAATGAGACAACTATCCACCAAAGTTAAAATAAAGTGGATGTAAGCAATTATATGGCCTTCAACAATGAGAAAAACCCATACCGCTATAAAAGGCCCCGATATCAAAAATATGAAACAATTCAATTGAGAAAACTAACGGCCTAATCTATAACAAAACAATGAACGAAAAACAAATATGACAGACATGAACCAACGACAACCACTGAACTACAGGCTCCTGACTTGGGACAGGCACA